CAGGCCTGCAAGGGAGAGCAGTTGAAGGCCAACAAGCCTGCAGGGGAGGGCAGTTAGGGGTGACCAGGCTGGCAGAAGAGGGATGTAGGGGGCGACTGGGCCTCAGGGAAGGGCAGTTGGGGGGGACCAGGCCTGTATGGGAGAACAGTTAGGGGTGACAGGCCTGCAGGAGAGGGCAGGTAGGAGGAAACAGACTGGCAGGAGAGCAGTTAGGCATCAATCAGGCTGGCAGGAGAGTGGTTAGGGGGTGATCAGGGTGGCAGGCAGAAGTAGTTATGGGGCAATCAGGAAGGCAGACAGGCAAGCAGTTGGGAGCCAGCAGTCCTGGATTGTGAGAGGGATATCTGACTGCCTGGGATAGGGCCTCCTGAACAGGCAGTCAGACATCCCTTAAAGGGTCCCAAATTGGAGAGGGTGCAGGCTGGGCTGAGGGACACCACGCACCCTCCCCCCTCCCTCTGCCAATTGCACCTCTGTGGCCTCTAGTGTTTAATAATAAATGAATGGGAGAGGTCTTTTTGTATCACAGCCAGACCAAGCAGTCTTACCACCCCAGGCCAATTTGCAGGTGGCCTTTATCCTGCTCTAATAACAAGAGGATGTATGATGTGTGAATATTTGGTGAGTTGGGATGCCTTTGGCCCCATAGTCTCAGAGCGGGTTTTGAGGTAGATGCATTCTTAGGAGCAGGGCGGTTGCATTGCAGTGAGCAGATGCTCACAGACTTCTGTGAAGAAAACAGATGTAGCTGCTTGTCACCACGTACCCCAAATCCTTCTGAGGTCCAGACCCGGTCTCTCACAAGCATTTGAAGCCTGTACATGGCTATTCTTACACATCCACAACTCTTTTATTTGTAATGCCAAACTGGTTCCTTGAACAAGCAACGTGCAATAGTGCGTTCATGATACAAATAACAGCATGAAACTAATGACTAGAGACACGCAACATCCCATGTTTCAAGATTTCTATTAGCCCATGGATCTGGATTTTACTGAAACTTGCTAAAAATGAATTTTTAGAAGTAAGAGAAATCCTATCGTTTCCTGTTTTTGTTTGTTTGTTTGTTTGTTTTGTCTTTCTGTGCTTTTTCAGCATGAAGTCTTGGGAACTTGCTTTCCCTGAGGTTTAGAAGAGTGTTTCCAGATAGTTGTTTATGGTGGAATATGGTATGAAGTAGAATTATTTTAGTTATTGCACATTTACCACGTCTGCTTCCCTTTTCCCCTATTTTCCAAATAGGTTAGATCAGATTCTAAAATCAATTGTGTGGGGCAGAAGTCTCATCCCCATACTACAGGCAGAACCACAGAAGCACAAACAAGTGTAATAATTTCTCCAGTGCATGTAGTTAGACCGGAATCTTAACTTTGTTCTTTACTCTTTCCAACACTGTTTTTCTCTTCTTCTCCCTTAGTTATTTCTAAAGACAAGGGACCATTAAGACCTTGGTTAAGGTTATAATACTAATTTACTAATTGATAAATGTAAGAAAAATATGGCATGAATACATTCCAACACAATAATGATAACACCATTAAGGGCTTAACTTTTTTTTTTTTTAATATATTTTATTGATTTTATACAGAGAGGGAGAGAGAGAGAGCTAGAAACATCGATGAGAGAGAGTCATCGATCAGCTGCCTCTTGCACACTCCCCACTCGGAATATGCCCGCAACCAAGGTACATGCCCTTGACCGGAATCGAACCCGGGACCTTTCAGTCCCCAAGCCGATGCTCTATCCATTGAGCCAAACCGGTCCCGGCAAGGGCTTAACTTTTAAAGAAAATATTTTTAATCCTAACCCAAGGATATGTTTTTATTGATTTCTTTTTACAGAGGAGAAGAGAGAGAGAGAGAGAAACATAGATGTAAGAAAAAAACATGGATTAGTTGCCTCCCATGCATGCCCAACTGGAATTTAACCTGAAACCTAATTATGGGCCCTTACTAAGAATCAGACCCAAAACCTTTTGGTGTACAGGGTGATATTCCAACCAACTGAGCCACACTGGCCAGGACAAAGGGCTTAATTTTAATAGCAAAAAAGAAAAAAATACTGTGGCTAAGTACAAATTATACCTATACCTTCTGTGTCTGAGGAATGCTTTGTATGTGAATGGAAACCTCCAAGAATGATATATTATTCAAATGTTCTTTTTTTTAAATAAAAATGCTAATTGGAATGTTAAAATGCACATAAATTAAAGCGATCATAAATTAGGATTAATATCACATTAATGAATTATAATCCCACATTCATTAAGACAAAGTGGCATTTCAATATTTGCTCTTGTTAATAAATTTAATACAATAAATGAAAGGGATACATTTGGAGATTCAATAAATATTTGATGTAATCGTAGGCTTTAACTTTTTAAAATATTCAAAAGCAAAGTAGGAGATCTAGATGCATTTGAACTCTTTGTTGCTGCTTTATGTCTTTTTAAGCAAATCTTATCTTTTCATTTATTGAAGCGCTAAACACAATTTAAATTGGCAAAGAAAGTGACGGAGATTGTTCTGAACAAAAGTGATCCCAAGAGAACACAATCTTTTGAGTTCCTAAGAGTTTCTTTGAAGAAGTTGTGTGTGTGTGTGTGTGTGTGTGTGTGTGTGTTTAATATTTTTAGGAACTACATTGGTATTTAAATAACTACATTAAACTGAAAACATGCACTTAAGTGGTATTTTCCAACTATAATTCAATGCACCCTCCCTTTTTTTTTTGAAGCAAACCAAAAATGTAAATTCTTATTTTATTTATTTATTTACTTTTAAAGCAGGAGTCAACATAATATTAAAAGAAGCACCAGGTGTCAGAACACATCTATCTCCTCCTTGACAGTAAACTTAACAATTGAGAGCCAGGGATCCTGTACTTTTCATCACATTTCAGGTGGGACAGGTGTTCAGTATGTGTTGCCATGACCTGAGGTAGAGCTGGATCCCTGATGCAAAGTCATTATTTTTCAACATCCCAATTTTTAGAAAATGTGCTCCTTCTTTCTGGTTCTGGCCTCAGTGTTCTTTATATAATAAAATGGGAATGATTTTTCCTAGACCAGAAGAATTGTATGGAACAAAGTAAAAAACATCCTAGACAACCATAAGATTTTTTAAAATATATTTTTATTGATGTCAGAGAAGAAGTGAAAGGGAGAGAGAGAAAGAAATATCAATGATGAGAGAACCATTGTCCAGCTGCCTCTTGCACACCTCACACTGGGGATTGAGCCCACTACCTGGACATATGCCCTGACTGGGAATCTAACACCTGTTGGTTCATAGTTCATGCTCAACCATTGAGTCATGCTGGCCAACCACAAACATAAGATTTTAATATGCATCAGATTATTAGAATTATTTTTGTTTTTGTAAATACTGCAGGCAAAACTGAGTTGGATTCTGGTCTACTACACTTCATTCAAAAATATAAACCTCAGGGAGGTTATTGTGGGCCTTGTCAATCCTCATTTTTCTGATGTTTTATATGAAACTAGAGGCTCAGTGCACGGAATTTGTACATTGATAGGATCCTTAGGCTTGGCTGATGATCAGGATTGATCTGGGGGGCTACCAGTGGGGCAATCCAGGGGCTCCCGCTGGCACCTGCTTTGGCTGGCCTGGGGCCTATGGGCTGGGGGCAGCTCCTGCATTATGCGTCTACCCCCTGGTGGTTAGTGCTCATCATAGGGACTGGTCGTTCTGCTGGTCGTTTCATTGTTCGGTCAATTAGCATATTAGGCTTTTATTTTATAAGGCATTTTATTTCATTTAGTTTTGGATAAAAATTATGGGAATTATGTGAGAAGTGATTGACATGGTTCTTGGCATATAAATAGAGAACCCTAAAAGGTAGCTAGTGATAAAAACTTTAAATTCATGTATTAATAAACTGAAAAGAATCCATACATTTTTTTTGTTATATTCTCCTTGATCTTTTTATCATTCAATATTATACTAAACTGGTGAAAATCTTTTTAAATTGAGTTTATTGGAGTGGCACTGACTAACAAAATTATGCAGGTTTAAGATACACAGTTCTACAACACCTCCTCTGTACACTGTATTGTATGTTCACCACCCCAAGTGAAGTCTCCTTCCATCACCATTATCCCCACCATACCCTCCTCCACCTCCCTCCAGCCCTCACTCTCCAGGCCCCCAGCCCCACCCTGGCCCTGCTTGGCAATCACCACACTGTTGCCCATGTCCATGAATGAGGTTTTCTCTTCTGCTCAATCGCTTGACACCTGTCCCCCCTTACCCTCACTCCACCCCAGCCAACAGCTGTCATCTTCCTCTCTGTCTATGAGTCTGTCACTATTTTACTTACCATTTCAACTTATCTGTTTGAATTTCATTATGTTTTATTTTGATTTATAAGAATGCATTTGTGAATCTATATGCATATACACTCAGTGGCCAGATTATTATGATCTCTGAATACATAATAATCTTCTCTCTCTCTCTCTCTCTCTCTCTCTCTCTCTCTCTCTCTCTCTCTGGTGCATGAATTTGTGCATGGGTGGAATACAGCTACAGCCAGCCTGGCCAGGGGGAGAGGAAATGGGCAGTTGGCAGTCCTGCCTGCGGGTCGAACTCCTGGTTGATGGGACAATTTGCATATTAGCCTTTTATTATATAGGATATAAACCGAGTGGCCAGATTATTATGCATTCAGAAATCATCAAATCTAGCCACTCAGTGTATGCATAATCCATGGACATAGACTATAGTGCAGTGAATGCCTGTGGGTGATAGGGGCACTGTAGAGAGGGACAATGCGGGAAAAAGGGGGACATGGGTAATACTTTCAACAACAAAGATAACATTTTTAAAAAGAATACAGCCACACAGACTCTGTGCAGCTTTTGATAGCAGAGATTAGTAAAGTTCCAAAGAATGCCAAAAGAACCAACGTGGTATTGAAGCAGGAGGGAGTTAAAGAGAAAACAATGGTGCATCGCTAAGCAATGTCCCCTTTCCTTTTAGCTGCACACAGACCTGGATCCTGGGAGCAAAAAAATCAAGTATATCCTGTCGGGCGATGGAGCTGGGACAATCTTCCAAATAAATGACATAACGGGAGATATCCACGCCATAAAGAGACTGGACCGGGAGGAAAAGGCGGAGTACACCCTCACAGCCCAGGCAGTGGATTTTGAGACCAACAAGCCCCTGGAACCTCCTTCAGAATTCATTATTAAAGTTCAAGACATCAACGACAACGCGCCGGAGTTTCTTAATGGACCCTATCATGCGACTGTGCCGGAGATGTCCATTTTGGGTATGTACACAGAACTATTAAGAGTCACTTTTAACATAGCTCCTGGCTGAAAAAAAGGCATCGGTGACTGTCTTGGCTCTCATTTGCATTTCCAAATCCCCTCCCCCACTTTCTTTTGGCCTCGGTGCCACAACTCGGTAGCTTTAGTCCCTTAGTAATAGGAACCGACGAAGCGGTTTTATTAAAATATCTCTCCTTCCATGACAGTACTTCAATAGGCCGAATTTGTATTCTTCTCTTGCACTTGTACTTGGAGTATTTGTGACTGAGGCGGATTTATCAAGATTTGTTCCAACATGCCAGACTAATCCGGCGGATATTTGCTTGATGGTTAATTATTTGTGCACATTCGCATGCAATTGCAGTGTGTCGAGAAATAGGGAGCCGTCGAAGTCTGTGGCAGCCAGATTCTGAATAGAGCTGGTAGGCTGAAAGCAGAGAGGATTAGGAATCACAGCTACTGGAGACTTCTATGCAGTCGTGTCTGACCTTAACTGAACTTAAAAAAAACACACACACCAAAAAACAAAAACAAAAACAAACAAACAAACAAACAAACCCCCCACACACAAACACACACACACTAGAGGCCAATGCATGAAATTCATGTAAGGGGCTCGGCCCTTGCAGCCTCGGCTGCCTCATGGCCCCGCCCACTGGTTGTTCTGGAAGGTCATTCCTCTGTCCAGTCTAATTAGCATATTAGCTCTTTGTTATCTAGGATATATATATATATATATATATATATATTTTTTTTTTTTTCTTTCAGAGAGAAAGGGAGAGGGGAAGAGAGAGATAAACATCAATGATGTGAGAGAATCATTGATTGTATGCCTCTTACACTCTCTCTACATAAATTACACACACACACACACACACACACACACACACACACACACACACACAGACATAAATGGAAGGCCAGAATGAGGTGAGCAGCTGATATCTCCTGTCTTACCCTATAACGTTGTCAGAAGCGCCTACTGCAGTAGCAACTCAGAATGGATGGCAGGTCTTCACCTCTCCCCCAAGTATGACTCCTACTAACACTCTACTTGGTCCATTTTTTGTGCAAGGAAGTCTACCTTTATTTTGTTTTGTTTTGATTTTCATCTTATCAGAATCACATCGCTCCTCTTGGATTGGCTGAAATGACACTTTTTCTAGGGAAACTTGTATGGCTTTCCGGTAGGAAATTCTCTCTCTCCCATTACTATTCCCACAAAAACAAACCCACCCATAAGTAAAAATATCCCCATGTGCCTACTTCTTTTAAATCCTGACATGGAAACAGCATTTGAGAAACACTTTTTCTTTCTTATTTTCTTGTTTGGGGGAGAGCCTTGTTTCTTTAGTTCACCTTCTCATCCAGGTGAGAGTAATTCGGTTTTAAGGGAGGATGGTCACCTTCAATACACAGAGACCCGTTTCCTTAACTTGCTAACCAATGATGAAGAGGGAAGTGGTTATTTTTGCCTCACCGTTACGATTTCTACATCTTAATGGCCAAGCCTCTATCTATTTATTGTAAATGTGTCAGAGGCTTCCATTTCTGTGTATATGAGTCATGTGCCTGATAAATATTTTGAGAAAGAAGTTCCCTCCTCCAACTTCTGCTGACTCCAAGGTCAATTTCAGCTAAGAAAGGGGTTGTAGAGATATTATTAGCTACATTATGCAACGTGTGTGTGCACCTGTAAATATACAGTACATGATGTTTTTCTATCGAAAAGACTTTTCATTGTGAGACAGTGTAGACTAAGAAAAATTAATGTTCATTAACAGGCACAGTTGTTGTTTTCTTTAAAAAGTGCCTTCTCTCTCACATTTTTTTCAAAAACTACATGAAGCGTGCTGCTGTAGTTCCACATGTGGGTCTGATGTTAGATAGAATTCTGAATCCTGGTACCATCCCTGATGATCTGGTTGACCTTAAAGTTCAGGGTGGTTACATGATCACTCATTTGCCTTAGCTACAATGCAAAGATCGACATTTCCATCTTGCTTTCATTGTATGAGAATTGTGTGATTGCGTACAAGATTAAGGTGTACCTTAAAGTAAACAGGCATCTGATAATTGATTGTTGTGGTGGTTTCCAAAAATTATTTTTATTGCCCAGTTGGTGTGGCTCAGTGGTTGAGGGTCGACTTTTGAACCAAGAGGTCACAGTTCGATTCAAGGTCAGGGTACAAGCCTGGGATGCAGGCTCGATCCCCAGGGTGGGGCGTGCATGAGGCAGCCAGTCAATGATTCTCTCTCATCATGGATGTTTCTATCTCTCCCTCCCTCCCTTTCCTTTCTCTGTAACATCAAAAGAACATATTTTTAAAAAACTTACTTTTATTCATCTATTTCCTACTTTACGTTGGAACCTTTCCCCATGGATCAATCCCATGTAATCACGTGTCTGGTTACTGTTTGACTCCAGCCTCTCCGGGTACAGGAGGCAGAGGCAGCCGCACTATTTTATTGTCAGGTGTGAGTTATTCCCTTCATTTCTCACGAAGGTGAATATCAGGAGGAAGGTCACTACCATCTCCTCTCTCTCCCCATTACCACCCTCCTCCCTCAGCCGGCCTCTCCCCTCCCCTCCTTCCTCCTTTTATTTTTCTTCCTTTGCTACCACACAAAGGCCAGCACCTGTGCATCCCCAGGAATGCCAGCGAGGCCTGGGGAGGAGGGTCTCATTGGGCAGAAAGTGAAAAATAAAATTCTAATTGAGAAATTGGCCACGATGAAATGGAAATGAATCGGATGTTCAGGGACCGTCTGCCAGTCGACAAGCTGTCAAGACAAAACGCACATATATATTTGCCCAAATGGCAGTCGCATTATTTTAGAAAGATCTTATTTGGGAGCCAGGGATACAGCTCTTTTCTATTCGCCTGTGAATCGCAGAACTTGATGACAATTCGCTTTTATAGCAAATACAGCAGAAAGGGCGACGTGCGAGCGAGTCTGGGTTTTACTCTGGATATCAAACTAGCTTTGTTGAAGTTGGTGTTTCGATGCAAATGTGCCCATGTTTATGGATTTCCAGATACTTTATGTAGGTATTTTTCATGCTGTTGCATGGGGGGAGACGGGGTGCGTTTAACCCTGATTTTATGTCGACACCTGGATTTGGGTAAAATCAGCTTTTGAACCTAGAATTCCAGGTTGTTCGGCTGCACATCTGCCTTTTGCCTGCATAAGGGGCAGAAGCCAGGTAATCTCACTTTCTGTCGTGTGTGCAATGCTCTCTTCCTACAAACCCGTGTTTGGGAAAATTCAGCGATTATTTTTAAAGCATTTGGCACGGCTTAGAGTTGGTCTCCAACAGATACTAGTTCTTTACAGTTGTCCACTTGTGAGTTTTATCAACATGATTTAAAAAATTGCCTATATGATATGAATCTCAACAGCCTTAACTTTATGTTTCACAAATATGCATATTGGAATGAACTCTGTTTTGTTCAAAAGAGCATATTAGTGAAGGTCAAATCAAGGGATGAGAAGGTCAAGTACAGTAGTCCCCTCCTTATCTGAAGGGGATACATTTCAAGATGCCCACTGAATACCAAAAATAGACCATATGTATGCTATTTTTCATATATATATATATATATATATATATATATATATGCATCTAGGTTAAAGTTTAACTTATAAATTTGGCATAATGAGAGATTCACCTCAATAACTAACAATAAAATGGAATAATTATAACAAAATATTTTAATAAAAGTCATGTAAATATAGACTTTCTCTCTCAAAGTAGCTGGAATGTTCTCTTTAAATTATCAGACCACAGTTGACTGCAGGTCATTGGAACCAACTGCCTTGCCCACCACACCTCATAGCTTTTGGAATGAACAGTCCAGGAGGCAGGCAGATAGGCAGGTACGGTGGCAGGTATGAAGACAGGAAACTACATAATGCTCTCTGCTTTACTCATCTTATCTTTTTAGTCATTTCTTAATATGTAATAGATTTATGGCAACTGCTTCCAATCTGTACTCAAAATAGGTTTATTGAAAAAAAAAAGTCAAATTTAATTGATAAACACTGAGTTAAAGAAAGAAAAGTACCGTACTTTTTATACTGGTCTTTGAAGTATCCACTGAGTGGACAGATTATTATGATCTCTGGACACATAATAATCTGGCCACTCAGTGTCTATCCCATATAATAAAAGGCTAATATGCAAATTGCCCCCTTGACCATTTGTTGGACCAGCAGGCAGGCCTGCTAACCACCCATGTTCCCGTCCCCTGGCCAGGCTTGACACACCCCACCCTTGCACGAATTCATGCACCGAGCCTCTAAAACACACACACACACACACACACACACACACACACACACACACTTAGTAGCCAGATTATTATGCTTTCAGAGATCATAATAATCTGGACACTCGATGTATACTGGTATGTATCCTAATTTAACAATAAATTAGGTTTATGCACCCAGTTGTGATTTGTGAGTATGTATATGTGGGAGGAGGTGCTTCCCTCACACCACCAAGCAATTCTTGAACACCATCAGGGTGTCCTGTAATTCAACTCAACTCTGACTCTATCCTTCAGGGAAGTAGTATCACTTTCAACAGGTTGACATGGTCCTACCAGTGCCCCCACCCCCACTTCAGAGGCCAGTCAGAAGTCCTGTTGTCACCTGTGCTTCTGACCAACAGGCTATATCAGAGGTCCCCATGGCCCCTCTTCTTGGGTTCCATTCATTTGCTAGAGTGGCTCACAGACTAGAGTGCCCATGTATTATAAAAGGATATAATTTAGGAACAGCCGGATGGAAGTGATGCAAGGACAAGGTACAGGGGAACGGGCACAGAGCTTCCATGCCTCTTCGGGGCACCATTCTCCTCAAACCTCCAAGTGTTCACCTCTCCAATGCTCTCTGAAGCTGTCTTTTGGGAAGACTTCATTCCATAGTTATGAGTGAGTAAATTATTGGCCATTGGCAGTTGATTCAACCTGCAGTCCTTCACCCCTCCCTG